AAAAAAAAAAAAAAAAAAAAAAAAATGAAGTAAAAATGAATTTTTAACTCGCTTTTTGAAACTGTGCTTTTTTCCGGCTTTTTTCATATTCTCCAGTTTCTTAAGTATTGCTCGGGATTAGTTAGGAAGGTCTAAACTTCGTTTTTACAAAGCTCTTCAACTTCTGAGAGATTAGATTTTTTTGTTGTTCAAATCTATTGATGAAAATCGCTGAGGGACTTGCGATAGGCATCAAAATTACTGCATGACTGTAACATCTTAAGTAAAAGGTTTTGGTACATTTTTGAAGAACAGCACCATTCAAAATACGCAAAAATAGTTTCGCATTAAGCAGTGACTAGTTTTGAAGGATGGAAATTGTGCTGATCAGCCAATTCTTTGATATTTTTTTGAAGTTGATCTTTTAAGCAAAATGCCAGTTCACTAGAACAAGCTTCCCTGTTACGAAGTCTCTGCGAAAAGGTCACTTTTTTTTTGCATCTATACGGATTTATTCTGCTGTACCACTAACGTGCGTTTAGCAGCTGGACAGCAGTACTGTTTTTAATCTAGCTGTTAACACTGATTAAGAATATATCTTGGACATAGAAACTTTGGGACAGAAATTGAAAAGCTTAAATTTTTTCTGTGTTCAAATGGGCTGATCATGCAGACTTTTGTGTTTGGTTATTTTCTTTCACAATTTAAGGTTTAAATTACTGTTGTCAGTTCGTCAAATAAACAAATTTTAAGGTTAAGCTTTTTGTGACTCTTTTACTTTCGGGACGAAAAAGTTAAAAAAAAAATTTTTTTTAGCCTTTCGTACAGAACCTGGTTCAGGTTCTTTTTTTTTTTTTTTTGTTGAGCAAAGAATAGTGATTTCCAGTAACTGAAACAATCAGGCAAAAAATGTTTGGGCTGAAAAAAAAAGCAGATTGACTTATTAACCGCAATAAAGACTTGTTAGTTTTTTTTTCATTTTGGCTTTATACGTTAAGGGCGTAAAACAGCTTGAGTATTTTGGATGGATACGCTCGCAGTCACCGCGTGCATCCATATTTTTCTCTTTTGCACTACAGCTGTTGAGTAACAGATTACAGATGTTTCTTCTGTTCTTGGTAAACTATTTAAAATGATTAGACAAGTTTTTTTCTAATATTTTTGAAAACAGAGGGGTCAACAATTTTTCCCCCTCCTTCATCTATACGAGGTTTCTCGTGGTTTTTGCTACGCATTTAAAGATTGTATAGGGGCGATAAAAATATTTTACATGGTCTTCAACTGAGAGTTTCGCAGGAATGAAATGCTCAAAAGTTCTCAAAAAATTAGTAAATTTTTACGGATTAATTTGTTATTGCTTTTTTCTGTATTAAAAACGAAACTAGTGAGATAAGAGGGAGAAAGAGGTGCTAGGGAAAACAATAAGAGCGTTCTAAGCAGTACTGAATAGAAGGAACAGTTTTATGGTGGTGGTTTTTGATTACTTTGCTGGATCACTTCTTTTCAGCTTCTTTACATAATTTTTAAACAACAAATGCTGACTGATGTTACCAAAAAGAATTTGAAAAATAGCCTTTATACCTTATGGGATATATAAGTTTGAACGAAAGCATAAAAAATTATTTGGTGTTTTATTTCATTTATTAGTCACTCGCCGTCTAAATGTACCATCTAAAAGTTGCTGTGTGGAAAAAAAAAAAATTAGGCACTTTATCCTGGTTTGAGAGAATGGATGATTCATAAAAAGTTAGACGAAAGTTGAACCGAAAACTATGAAAAATTCGTTTCTGCTTATCGCAGTCCTTTTGTCAGTAATGATACAATAATATTCGACGGATTTAAAATATTTTTAGGTGAGCTTTTTCTGACGAATTATTTAAAAATACACTGAACCAACTTGTTGGGAAACTGAAGCTTATTACACTGTTATTGTATAATTAAAGTGTACCGACAAACTTGACAATAAAGATGTTAAGAACTAAACTTACCTAATCGAAGACGCTTTGGCAAAAACTCCAAACATCCTAAATACCTTCCAAAACTGTTTCTTCCGATAACCACTGGTTACTGTTTTCATCATTGAGTTGTCACTTAAAACTCTCAGTCACTTTACCAACGCAGAAACATAAAACACTATTGGAAGTTTTCTCATCGGTTCAAATGATTTCTTATCAGTAAAACGGTATCGACAGCACAAAACAAGAGTAATGAAAAAAAGAAAATTGAGAGAGGAAAAAGAAATAATTAACTGTATTCTCAATTTGAAAAATTTCTTTTCACTTTTTTTTTTTTGCATAATATACAATTTACCTATGTGGAATTTAATCTGGTAATCTGACAATCATATAACTTGTGTTTAACATTTTGAAAGTAATTAGAATTACTGTTCTGTCTTTGTTATTAATAAAACAACTGTACAAGAAGTAATTGAAACTTAAGAAATTAAAGGTTAATAGGCGTAACGGTAATCCCATTGATTTGTACTTGTTATTATTAATTTGAATTTGGGTGTGATACCGAGAAATTTTTTGGCAGTAATTTCAATATTAAACATTATCAGAATTTTGTTGTTCTGAACTTCGCTTCAACTTTCCTCAATGATACATTTTTTATATCTTAAGCTGATCACCTCAGATACGGCGAGGATGAATACAAAAATTGAACTTGAATTCTAACTGACTGCAAGCAGTAATAAATAACAGCGACGAATTTTTTGATTTGGGAAGGTAGGGGAGGACGGATGGGTGCAAAGAGAATGCAAAAAATACAGCGCTAGTACCGGGGAAGGGGCGGCAAAAGTAGGAGAAAGAGAGAGAGGGAGAGAGTGGGGTGCTGTGTCGGATACATTTAAACAGGGCTTGCAACGACTGGGTTTCAGTATGCGTGCATGGCCA